TGCCCCGACAGGACGATCAAGACTTACACCGCTGAGCTGAACCCACCAGAAAACCAGTGCCGCCAGAGGCAATAATGAAAACTCTTTGAAAACAGAGATGATCAAAGTTCTCCCCAGCGACCAGCCAATTGAAGTTCAATTTAATTTATGGCGGCACCGTATGGTAAAAGTTTGTTATTGAATTTCACTTTGAAAGGCGCGAATTAATCACTGGGCCGTGCTTGCGACGCTGTCAAATTTCCTGAAAATTCTCCTCGCCGATTCGGCAACCCACTCTCTCCCTTTCTCCAAGCCTCGAAGCACTTTCAGGGTCTCAGGGAAGCAAACAACAGATTTTTTTACGTGATTGAAATTTTATACTTTCCCCCGACTGAAAACAGTTTTGAAACAATTTTATAGAATATTTCAGCCAAGAGTGTCATTTTCCCGGTAGACATAATTCGTTATTCCTGGAAATAATTTTGCATTCCGATGCGAATAACGAGCTTTTACTGGTAAGATGCTCTTAAGCGGGTTTGCTTACCTACACCAATTCGCACTTAAATTACTGTGGAACCCATTATTGTACAACAACTTGTATCAAATACTCTCACGTTAAACAAAGGCGCGATCTCCGAATTACTTTGATGCAAAAACAAATAAAACGAGGAATAGAAAAAAGAATAAAGTATTCTTTCGGATACAAGGGGTTTTCTTGTTAGATGTTTTGAACTCTATAGACATCACTGCGCAGTTATGGTTCCTTTCTCTGAATTGATTTCGCCGATGGAAAATCCGAAAATGAGCAAACTGTCTTTGATCTCTTACTATGGACTAATTTGGCTATCTTTAAGTGCTTCTCTTTGAAACTTAGGGCCGTATTTAAAGTCCCTTTTTCAGCAGCTCCTTTCCTTTGAAGGTCTTATATGGTTTCCATTACGACTGTGGGCCGTACGTTTAAGGAGGCTCTTTAACATATCATCATAAAAGAGACAATTCTCGTGAATCTAAGGTAAAATTTTACAGTATGATTTCGGGATTGGATCTTTTGCAAAGTATTGTACGGATTCTCCACCCTAAAATAAAAAAATACAGCAGAAAAATGTTGGGGATTTTCATTAAAACGATTTTCCACCACAAAAATTACAATTTACGGGATTTTGCCGGAACAAAAAGGACTAAACCTAACTTAGAGTCTGAAAAAAACATGTCATTTTTCCTTATCTATTTTGTATTTTTTGCAGTAATACATCAATTTGTCCTACACGGATCCATTTCTAAAGTTATGCCCTAAAATTATACTCCAGATTAAGGATGATTGTCCTTATCATGGTGATGAGTTTGCAGCCAGGTTTAAGAATAAACCCTCCTTGGTCATGATGTTAACCATATGGACGGAGTAAGTTCGCAATCACATATCGACGGTGAAACTACCAAACCACGTATCTCGTTTGCGGTGTTTAAAAATCTACGCTCGCATTTTATTTTTTTGAAGTAGACCAAATCAGTATCATTCCTTGAAATGTTCACAGAATTTTCTCCGCACGAAGAGGAAAAATCACAGAAATTTTCAAGACTGGACGTTGAGTAGTTTTTCATTTAAAAAATAAAGTATGACAGGAAGTCTGCGACGTCGCAAACCGAGATACGTGGTTTAGTAGTTTCACCGTCGATATCTCGTTTGCGGTGTCTGTAAAGCTCCGCCACTGTGTTATTTTTTTGAAGGAGAACAAATTGATATCATTCCAAGAAGCTTTTGCATCATTTTCTTCGCACAGAGAAGAAACATTAAGGCAGTTTTAAAGAATTGCCGTTGAGTAGTTTTCCACTTGAAAAATAAAGCATGACAGGAAGTCGGCGACGTCGCAAACCGAGTTATGTGATGCCGACTTACACCGTCGATACGGGGTCCCCTAAGGAAAATACATACTTACGGAACACTGAAAAAAAATTCTCGGCGTTTTTACGAAGGTCCGTTGGTACCTTTACCATCTCACTTTTTATACCAATTATTAGTAATTTTACCAAGACAGACTGGTAAACTTACTTAAAAACCGGTATTTTTACTGTTTTTTCCAGGTAAGAATACCACTTTTTTTGGTAATCAATTCTCAGTAACTTTGCCATTTTATCTCGGTAATTCTACCACAGTCGATAAAAAATATTGGCGTTTTTACCAAGGTCCAGTAAAATTACCGAGAAAGTTCAATAATTTTACCGAGATTTCTCAGTAAAATTACCAATTCCATAAATGGTAATTTTACCAAGAAAAAACTGGGATCAAATAGAACCCTGAATTCTTGGTAATTTTACCCTTTTCTCAGTAAATACACCGAGATTTTTTTCTCAGTGCGGAACGATTATGGATTCAACCCTTATTGCTTTTCTGATAAACTCGATGCAAGTACTCGTACTCCTAAAGCCTCAAACATGGTCTTCAATCTGCCGACTAGATGACGCCCGACGCCGGTCTCGCCCCCTACGGTCCGGCGGCGACTGGGTTGGGTGCTCCCCCTTTTGGCGCTAATGCAAATTTGACGAGGGATATCGGTATCGGTCGGGTCGGAAATTGTGCGTGAAATCGGCAATGGCGGCACGATGAGAACATGTTTGTTAATACACCCTCGGAGCCGCCGCCGCCGCCCGGAGAGGGCCGGGCGTCCGGGGCGTTTTACACTCTTCTCAATCACATTTTCACTCTTCAATGAATTTCGCCTCTCGCGTGTCGAAATCACCCCACCGAAACGCTCTTCGCCCGTGTTCCGTGTTGAGCGCCGGGACTTCAAATAGCGCTCAAACATTCACAGCTTCGAGTTACCGGTCGAGCTGGACATCCCCGAACAGCGCCTAATGCAGCACGTTTAATGGGACCGCGTTGAACAGAAAGGAACCAAGCTACATCAGCTATTGCCATATTTGATTCGGCAATTCAATTTTTTACACGAAAAAGGATGTTCAGATCTTCGTAAAAATTGCAGTGAATTTTCTCCTTAGTGCAAAGAAAATTCCTTAAAATTTTCGACGAAATCCGCGTAGACGTTCTCTCGTTAAAAAATAAAATTGCTGGGTTAAATTTGGCAATAGATGATGTGGCTTGGCTCCTTTCTGTTAAACGCGGTCAAATGCGTGTTTCTGCTGTGTGCTCTTCTTCGGCGCTGTGAAAATTCTTCGCTGGAAATTTTAGGAATTAACGTACTCGCGTAACTGTATTGAGGTGCACAAAAAAATCTTTGCGTCTGAAAGTTTCATTTACTGGCCGCTCTTGAAGTGCCGTCCCTAAATTACGTAACGCTCTGGGGGAGGGGGAGGGGGTCGAAGAGAACGTTGCGTCATTTTGTTTTCGCGTGTTTAAAGATTGGGACATAAGTGTTAGAAGGGGGAGGGGTTGAAAGTGCGGGAAAAATGCGTTACGTAATTTAAGGACGTTCCCAAAATACGTAACGCTGAAACTCGGACGCACCACTTCGTTCACCCCTGTAACAAATCCATTGCGCAGGTCCCCATGTAGCAGGGTTTCCCAAAATAGTGTAATTTGAATTAATTAATTGCAATTGCTTGACCATCGAATACTCAGAAATAGCTAATCAATTGGAGTAGATCGCTATCTGTTTATTTTTGAGTAACTCTGCTACATGGGAAAAACAGTGGCGAGGCGTGAATAATCGATTATCGATATTTCTCCATTTGAAGCTGTGGTAAAGAATCGATTATTAAGGTGTCCGCTGCGAACACCCTGTCTATCGATCCTTTCCCATAAGTTTAATGGCAGATCGAGAGATCGACTGATATATCACGAAGCACTCCACGCCACGCCACTGGTAGGCTTACAAAGAATTCCTCGGCAACAGAGAAGTAATACCCATAAATAGGGAAATACCCTACTAAGGGGAGTTTTGGGGCACTCCTATAGCTCCGTAAGGCAAAACTGCGCAGACTATTTGAAAAATACGCCTTCAAAACACTTTTGAGCTGTTTTTACCGAAAAATTGAATGAAATACATTTGTAAAGATGACATGAATGTCTAAAATTTACTTCTCAAAATCCTCCACATTTTTTAGAGATGACAACCACCCCCTTCAACTCTCTAGTGCCGCCCGTACTTCTGATTTCCGCAAAATTCTGATTTCCGCTAAATTCTGACTCCGCACTAGCTGCTTGCACAGAATTTGGGCCCTGTCGCGGCATACCGCGCATTGGCGCCTTCAAACCTAACAGGGATACTTCACGCATTGCGCAATGCGTGAAGTATCCCTGTTAGGTTTGTAGGCGGCATTGCGCGTGTCGCGGCTATCGATCCTTTCCCATAGCTTTAAATGGCAAATCAATCGATATATCGCAAAGCACGCCACGCCACTGGGGAAAAAATCAACAACCCTCTTGCGCTCCTCATCGAATCACCCTCGTAAAAAGTCACCGTCAAGTCTAAGTTTTTGCCGTATTTCACAGGAAAAACAGAATATTGAATAAACACCATGGCAAGTTAAAAAACTGCGCGACAATCCTAAATAATCGTTTGTTTAAACGCTGTGTTGGGAATTTTACTTCGCCAGGATGTCACATCCCCAACCGAAACGTTCATCCTCTCAGTTTCGTTACTATAAGGCTTTTTTTCAAACTCATTCGATGTAATCTGTTGTTACAGCACTATTTACAATGTTTTTACAATGAAGATAAGATGGATTACATTTTGCAATAAGGAACCACTATTTCTGGCTCTTCCATAAAATCACATATCTGCATAGGGAAACCAATGGCATGTATGTTGTTTTTAAATTGGGCCAAAAATAGTGGTTCCTTTTTGCAAAATGTAATCTAGATGTAATAAAAGTACAACTGAGGTGTATCTATATCACTTAAAGTCATGATCAAGGCATTCAAGTTGACTTAAATGTGGTTTTGGATCCAGAATTTACCCTAAAATATACAAAAAAAAACCCCAAATAAGTCTTGGTGACACTTTTTAGTTTCATTTCTGTCGAAGGATTGGGTTTTCGTTTAAAAGATACTGAGGTCATCTTACCTGTGACAAGTTGAGCGTGATGGAACTGGCAAACGGCGTCGGCCTCGAACCACGTTACGCGGTCGCGAAAGTAGCGGTAAAAAACGGGATATCCCTCTTCCGGCAGGGTCCATACATTACTGATATTCACTTGGTTGTTCGACACATAACTGTATTCCACATTTCCACTCGCGATTGAGTTAGACCGGGGGGTCTGGACCACTTTTGTCAGCTGTGAACAGAAAAAAATGATGAACGTAAGGAGATGCATCGCAAGGTTTTTTGAAGTCAGATACTAATGCCATATCACATAAAAGAAGTCGATGTAATGCATGAGAAGAAAGATATGATGCCGATTCATGTCAAGGTTTTCGGAATGAAGGAAAACTCCTTTATACTCGCAAATGAAGATAGTTGGAGTAATACCGTGTAAAAAATGACGAGTATAAATAGGAGAAGAATTCTGCTGCTATCAGTTGGATCTTCACAGATATCAGTTGCATTTCTGGTAAACTATGAGTCTCGTGATAGTAGAATCTCTCTACTCGCTTTTGGATAATGATTTGAGTAACCCGATATCAAGACATATGTTGAATCTGTGATATCTGATACCTCTGAAACTAATCACAGCTTCAAAAGGATTCAAGATATGAAAAGTGATTCAGTCTTATAAAACATTTTTATAATACGGTGTTGCTTCCTGATTGGAAACAACTCTTTAAAAAACAATCATCGACAATTGCAACAAACTCAATTACAATTTCTGCCCGTGCCTAAGTTGCAAACGTTGACCGCGCAAGTCAACGATCGACATCGGCATAACAACCTGTCAACCAGTGGCGTGGCGCGCTTTGCGACCTATCGATTGATCTGCCATTTAAACCGATGAAAAAGGATCGATAAACAGGAAGTTCGCGACGAACACCTTAAAAATCGATTCTTTACGATAGCTTCAAAAAGGGAAATATCGATGATAGATCATTCACACCTCGCACTGGAAGAAACTTGGATTTCCTTCTACAGATTATCTGTTATGCGCCGCCTTCGGTCGCTGATTTGCACGGCGGACATTCGCGGCTTAAGAGTGGCCTTTGGAGTGGAATTCCTCTTCTAAACTTAGAATAAGATATCGTTGATATGAGTAGAGTTTTTACTGATATGTTGGCTTAGAACGAGAAAACCTACTCATGACCAGGAAATCAAGAGAGGAAGTGAGAGAAAAATTATAATTTCTCTCCCGAGCGGTGATAAATATTTGATTTACATTGCAGTTGATTCGACGAAGGAGGAGGAAATACTCACTTTGATAACGGCAATACTTTCCAATCCGGGGATCCTGAGCAGCGGAGCTCAGCATCTCATCTTTGACGACCAATCAAAGCAAACCTCCTTAGACGTCGTGCTACGAGAAAGAGAGACTTTCCTCTTCCCGCTCTCAACTCGTGACGCGCCCTTTGAAATAAGCAGACACGGAGCCAAGGTGAGACGTTTCACAGACAATATTTGAATAAGTCATGTGGTTCACAGGGGAAACCAATTTAAGCAGAATTCTCGCAAAATATTTGAAGGAATTTATCTGCCAAGAGCGAAGCAAAGTGCCCTCGTCGGTAAGTTTGGAGACCTGAACACTATGGCTGTGTACTACCGTGCTGAAGAAGAACACCGTATGAACATTCGTTGATTGCCAGATTTTTTGGGATAAAATATTTACTTTTGAGGAAATTGACGAACATCTTTTTGTGAGATTTTTAAATACTTTAGATTCAATAGCGACTAAACTCCTTTGAAAAATTGGAAGAAAAAACTCCTTTGAAAAATTGGAAGAAAAATATTCAAAAAATTTCTCTAAAAATTCGTATTTTATCGGGAGAAATTTGACGACACCTGAAGGCTCATACGGTGTTCTCTCTTAGCAAGGCAGTATAGAGGCCGCAGATACTTTGTCAACAGTATAATCTCTTATTTTTGCAAAATTTATATCATTATTTGTCGATCGGGTAACTAATGCTACAGACCATAGAAAAGTCTTTAAACAACGGACATAGGTGCGCGATGAATGGAGACGAGAGTGCTACTTGATTCTCTCTTTTCCGTTCAAAAAAATAGGAAATCCATAGTCTAACTTTTACGTCAGACACAATCCAGTTGATGTGACTAAATATATTTTAATTGAGAACGCTAATGTCTATCGTAGACGTGGGTACTGAGTTTCGTTGTATGAGTCATTTTTTACGTAGTATTTTGGAAGAGCAATATGCAAAGAAAAGTTATATTTCACACTTTCCCTTTTGGCAAACCATACTATCAGCGAATCAATTTTTCCTTTTTGAGCTTTTATCAGTAAAGTTACATATCGGTGTAAGAGGGAAATTTGAAGTCATATTTATCTGCTGAATTCATTTTTTTCTGTACATTAATGCATATTTTAATACCTGATCTCGGGTGGAAGATAATGATTTCGTTTGATCTTTCAACTCAAAAGTTGTTAAAACGAAATTTATGACCACAGTTAGAGATAAATCTGACATGGCGATTAAAATAGTATGAAGTTCGTGACAGACGCGACCACGAAACGATCACAAAGCAGGGAGCATTCGGATACTTTTTCCAGCAAACTTTCTGTTTGAGTGAAAAATAAATTAAACAGCTAAAAAAGTTGCGCTACTATCATGATTTGAAACGACTGGGTGATTTATTAAAAAAAAGATAATTTGACAGTATCGCGTTCGTTATTTCAGGGCACAGGTTGAAGTGGTTGGGTAGGCGTATTTTAAATCATACTATTTCAATTAAAATAAGGAAAATTTTACTTGACTGAGGTATTTTTTTCAACCATAGCGCTTGAATTTAAGTTTTACGTCTTGGTAAGATTTCTTAAATTGCTGATTCTTTTTTGTTGGCGCAGTGATCTTAGCTTTGATATAAGAGGTTACCATTTTCATCCCTTTTTGGAGTGTAAAATTTTGCCTCCATCTATCCTAGGTAACGAGCAATGTTTTATCTGTCTTATCTATTCCATCGTATATACAGATACACGCTCACAATCAGTATCTCGACCGTCCTTTCTCGTGTTATATTTCCTCTCTCTGCCCAGGTGCCTACTCGAAGCCTCGTTCCTTGTATTATTTAAGCTATGGAATAATTGATGAAATTTTTAAGGAGAATTTAATTATACCACAGGAACTTTTGAAGGAATGTCAGACACAAAATTGTCTCATATTGTTTCGCTCCGAAAAATGCACTTTTTAAGCTATGCAGTCCATCGATCTCAGCCGCGCAAACTGTATACTTTACATTTTCGTAAAAGCTCCTTTGCCTCGAGGGAGGAATAAAAGGTACGACAAAATACTGACGGAACCACTAATTTGAAGTATTCAAACTTGGGAAAAAAGAAGGATGAAATTAATCCGTTGCGGGGAGTCTGCAAGGGCCGAGGGTAGTGAATTATTCAAATTCATCGGTGCGAGGGAAACTCACGTAAATTTCTCATCGAGAAAGGTAAGAATTTCAGATTAAAACGCCGGCAGAACTACATAACTGTCTTCAGACGCAAGATTCTGAATAGAGGCTTTTAACCGGCGTTTGAGGAATGGTAGAAACCTGGTGAATGCAAGTTTGAAGATTCTTTAGACTGTAATCTCGAATACAGTTTCCTTTTTATCTTTAATTACAGAACCGTAAAATTAGGAGTAGCGGACATTTTTTGACAAAGAGGAAGCAACAAAAGCTGAGGACCGAGCCCAAAATAGTATAAGTTTTTTTCGTTTTTATTTTCTTACAATTTATTTTGCCTTTATTCCTTCGTTTATTACGTTAGGAGTCCAAAGCCACCTATAGACACATTTGAACGGTAATTGGGAGTTGGCACGTCCATGCTCCAGGTTTCTCAAATTTTCAGGGATTATGGCAGAGTAGAATCTGTATCTGCAGATACGTGAAAATTTGACGTCACTACCGGGATTCGAACCTGGAGCCCACTGACCTAGAGTCAGATGCGCTGACCACAAGGCCAACCTAGCTGGCAGTAGTAGAGCTTTATCCGGTCTCAAATTATTTGAATCGTGGATCAGATCAACTAACCGGAGCTGACGGCAACGTCATTGTATGATGTATACGGCCTGATGCACAGCCCATCTATGAAGTGAAAATCCAATTCTCTAGTCCGCCATTTCCCGACATGATCATATTAACTGCATTGCTTTCGATTAAAATTAACGAGAAAATATCGGCGAATACGACAGCTTTTGTGGTAAAATGTTAATCTGTAAAATAGATTATTCGCCTATATTTTGGAGCGGACGTTGATATGGATATTGATGGAGCATCAGGTACAGAAAACACCTTCAGGGATGTTTTTGATTACTTAATAATTTCATCATTACTTATTGCATTCTTATCAATAAACTTGTGGAGCAGTTAGTTAGTTAGTTGATGTATTTAAAGACATTCAGCGTCATAGGCTATTAGCGTCTTTACAAAGAAGTTGGAAAATGCGTGTATTTACAAAAATTTAGATTTTTACATTAAGAGAGGCAAAGAGTTTCAGAAGTTTGGTAGTGACAATGGGCTCATCGTATGTTAGTGGGTTTGCATTCTTTTTGACTGCACTTTGACCATCGGCCGTTATTCTGTATTTATTTCAATATCGTATTCAAAGGTTTTGAATTTTATTTATTGAAAGCTGAGCCAGTCGAAGTGTATGTGCGCCATTGACATTCAAAGAAAGAGGTAGAAGGTGAAGAAAGGCGTATTTTTTCCTTATTTGTGCCAGCTGCTGTGATGAAAAGTTGTGCTCATTTAATTTAACCTCGCATGCAATGCTAGTATGGTCGTATTTCTGCTAAAAGAAGCTAACGAGCACGCAAATCCTATGCAGATGGTGCTTTTTGATTTAATGTATTTTCAAATATTTTCTTTCTGCACAAAGACGTCCGTGTGTGGTCTACTTTTTCTCTGCTCTGCTTGAACTTCAATGACCTCTCGATGCGAGGATATTGACCAACACGATATCAATGGAAGTATGGAGTACGGTCCTTAATAAGATCCAAGACCAACTGGAAGAGGAGGTAGGAGTTACAGCAAGTTGTGTGCTACTTTGTTGTTTACTCGATTGTTCATGTTTGTTTAGTTGAAATAATTTGTTTAATTTTAATCATGTTCAATTTCTATCTCAACTCTGGTTAAACACTCAATTTTTACAAGTTTATCTTCCGACGAAAACTTGCCGCAGGA